TTGATGTGTTTTTTCTTAACAATGAAACTCATAAAACACTGCATTTGCAAACAAAGCTACCCGGATAATTTTTACACACTGCCGAACTGTGACATGGTCGTTCAACACATTCGTCGATGTCTTCACATTTGCCGTTAAGTAGTACGTAGCCAGGAGGACATGAACAAGTTGCCTCATGACGGTCGACAACACACGTTCCTCGACCACAGTCAACATTATCGCATGGATCTGTTGAAAAAAAATGATGTTGAATGAATTTGAAGTGACAAAATCTTTTTTCTCTTCGAAATAAAATACGTTGGAATGATCTCAATTTAATGAAAATAAATTAAGTTAAAGGTGAAAATAGTATTTTTGGAAGTGCATTTGAACACCATAAATTAATGGAAAAAAAAGTATTTTTCTAATAAACTTAAGTCTATCGCTATTCGTTGTACACAGTTTTTTTTCTGGAGACATTGTATAGAAGAAAAAAATGCAAACTGGAACACATACTTTCAATAAATAGAGATTGCTGTGATAAAAATCCAAGAAGTTGTTTGTTATTTTGTATTGCTAACGCAAAAAATGAACGCAAACTTTTCGATCGTTCGAATTCTGGGACCTAAACAAGTGACTCATTTACATTACAGATGCGATCTTATTGAAGAAAAAGTAGAAAACAAAATTATGTGTCATGCTTGTCACAATTTGAACACATTTTCTGAAATAGATTTCATTGCAACCTCATTGAACCTGATAAAAAGTGATAACAAATCTATATGTATACGAGTAAATAAAGCGAATTTAGCAATATCAGTTTTTATATTTTCATGGGCGAATGCTGATGACTCATAATCCGGCTAGTATATAGAAATGGGAATCCAAAGTGAGTTGTGCGACAGTTGCCCTACGATGAAGTTCATAACATTGGCAAGTTCTCTATTATTGATTATCGGCATGTTGAGCCATATTTCTGTTGCAGCTCCTACTGAACCATTTGATTGCAGTAAATTACCATCGAATAACATTAGATATGATAGCAAGTGGACTTGGGGGGTCTATCCCCATATACTGAATGAATTCATCTGCTAGCAACTGAGCGAAAAAAATTGAAAAATATTTGTATGAGTCGAAGCAATTTTGTACTCCTTGAATTTGTTTTTCTTTCTACAACCAAAGAAAAAAACATAAAGAAAACAGAAAATGTATGGACAGTGATAATAATAAATTCGATTCAAAAAGTGTATTTTGTTGTTGTTTTGAATTACGAAATTTCTTTTCATAATCGATTCGAAAGTCGAAATATTAAAATAATTGATGCAAATAGCAATATAATAAGGCAATGTTTTAACTGCATCAGTTGAGATAATTTACTTGCAATCGAATTTAAAATTATAATCAATTCTTATTTTTTACAACTTATTAATTTTAAATTAAATAATTATACTATTTTTTCTTTTGCTTTTTAATATTAGTAATATATTGCCAAAAAGTAATTAGAAAATGTAAAATTGAAAGTCAACAAAAATGTGATCAGAACTCATAGGTGAAGAATGTTATTGGGATTTTTTCCTGTTTTCAACACCATTATAAATCAATAAAAAAAAAAAAAAAAACAAAAAAAAAGATTTCTTTTTTCTGATACTTTCAGTTTCTATCACCGTATTCAATGCAGATAATCAATTTTAGTTGTATTTCTATCATTTCTTTATAGTGTGTATTCTCAACGAATATAAATGAACTTTGATTCAACGAAAACACAAATCAATGGAAAAGTTTTAAAAAAATGAAACAAAAGTACTCACTTTGACATTTGTTAATTTGTGGATTACAATATTTGTTTTGGCTGCATTCTTCGCTGCTGATACATTCGACTCGGAAACAACCGGTGACCTTATCGGTTGGATCTCCCAAATGGCCCGGTGGACATTGGCAGAATGCTTTATGTTCGCTGCCCTGACAAATTGCATTGCGACCACATTCGGCGATGCCGCATGGTTCTGTGCATTTTCCTTCGAAACATGCCAAATTCTTGGCACAGTCTTCATTTCGTGCGCATTGATTTGGAAGTAAACAACCAGGTTCTGTGTATGGATCGCCAACGGTTTGTTCTGGGCACACACATCTGAATGATCCTGGTGTATTTTCGCAAATAGCGCTCTTGTGACAAACCTGATCGGTGCACTCATCAATATCAGAGCATCCGAATGGTGTTCCAATGAAACCGCGACCGCATTTACATTTTCCACTTGCGCAAACCTGTGTTGGTGGGCAATCAGCTTCGCTTTGGCAACCCGATTGACATGTTCCACGTTCGTTACAAATTTCACCGGGCAAACAATTGTTATTTGTGTAGCAAACCTTCGCGCAAACATTATTATCACACCTCTCGCCGATGGCGCATGCAACTGATTCGCTGCATGGCACTTGACAGTAGTTTCCGATGCACATGTGACCGTTCGGGCATCGGCTCGTCGAAACACAAGTCGATGGAACTCGAACACATCCTTGTTCTGGCGTTGGATTTCCATCGAATCCAGCGGGGCATTCGCATTTGGCTGCATGATTTTCGATTTTGCACAAGGCATTCGGTCCACAAATGTTGCTCTCGCATGAATTTTGACAGTTGTTGTTGTTGCAAGACAAATTTGAAGCGCAATCGTTGTTGCTTCGGCATCCAATCGAGCAAACACCTTGTTTACATGCTTGACCCTCTGGACATTGGTTGTGACTCGAGCATTTGATCATGCATCGATTGTTCGAACAATATTCACCATCAGCGCAATCGTTCTGATTTCTGCAAGCAACTGTACACTGACCTTTGCTGCAAATTCCACTGCCGCAGTCATAATCCTTATTACAAGCTAATGTATCGCGATAACAACCTCTTGCCCCGTCCGATCGACCATGGTTTGTAATTGTTTTCGATGATTGACCATCCGGACGGCAGCGGCTGCATGCGGTGAGCAAATCCCATAATAAAGTATTTATTCCAACCGATATACTATTTATTTTTCACTACATTGTTTGGATCACAGTCACATTGACTACATTATTTTTTCAAAGAAAATGCTTGATAGTATTATTTATGCTAGGAAAAAATTGTGCCGTGCTCAATTATTCAAGCTGTCCGTAGATTGGACTTGGCATCTTTTGTGGAGAATCATGGTTTATTCATCGATGAACAATTAGATCAAGGACAAAAGATTTTGCTTGTTTAAATATATAAATCTAATAAATCATTTAATCATATTCTTTTTCGTTTATTTGAATTTATCAAGTAACTTTTCTATTTTCTGTTCTAGTACTTGCTTACTCGAGCGAGTTTGGACTTGGAGTTGACTCGGTTGGTTCAGTTGCTAGTCCAACTTACTCTGATCCGAGTCGGCTCCAAGTAAACAGTGTCTCACTTAGTGCTCGAGTAAGCAAGCCTACTACGGGTTGCTTCCACCTCCGAGCTGAATCGATTCATTTAGGTTGATAACATCAACATATATATGCAGCTTCCAGTGGTCGAATTCTAAACAACTTCTCACAAATTTTTCGTGTGATTCCACAAACTTTTTATGTGGAATCACATTTTTTTGTGTGGAATGTGATAACGTTTTGAATCACTTTTATTGTTTTCTAAAAAATGTGAAAACTTTCCACATTTGTGGGAAACGGATTTGGTC